ATATATATATATATATATATATATATATATATATATTAAATATATCATGTTCTATCTCACCTGAATGCTTTTCTTTCCAGTAAAATTACAAATTAAAATATAACCAGAAAAATATAACCAACTCTAGCACCATTACTAATATACATCTACAGACAAACAGAGACAATTTTATTGTTATTATTATTATTATTATGAAATATCTCAGGTGAGAAAGATTTGAACACAACACACAATGCAAGAACACACATGTATTTGATGTATATCCCGCTCAGTGACAGTAAACGTTCTAAACTCTTCTCAAACATGAATGTTAACACTGGCAGCACTAGTTCAGAGCTCAACTTTTAAAAGTGTCAGAGCTGATCAGAGAACAGTCTGAATGGCACTGACCGTATGCGTCTGTCCTCCATTTCTTTCATCAGTCTCTCTCTTTTTTAGAGTGCTATCAGATGCTGACATTTAGATGAATGTTGGGCCTCAGGAGTGAATCTAACCTTTCTGCTCCCAGACAGCGCGGCGCGCACCTATGTGTGTGTGTGTGTGTGTCTTAAATCTCTCACAGATCTGCTTGGTATCACGCTTTGTCTATTTCAACGCTTCTCAAATTGTGCCAGAATACTTCTTAGATCTGTTGCATCGACCATGAGCTTACGTTGGTTCTTCTTTTCTTCATAATGCACAGTCAACTGGTCATTAGTGTATGTGTGTGTACCTGAAGCCCACGATGGGGAACTCTTTACAGATATTGCACTTGGCTTGGTGTTTGGCCGTTTCTGCTGCCGCCACTCTGTGCAGGACCGGAAGCCAAACCATCGACTGTGGCTCCAGCCTCATCCAATCAATAAACTGCCTTGGCTCCAGCTCCACCTTATTGGTCACCTGAGAACAGAGAGTCAGCACAAACAGCCAATCAGGGAGGTATTTCAGAAAGCCTGTACACGGCATGAGAGAATAACTCGTAAACAATGCAGCCCATCTGAAATCAAGATGATGGATGGAACATTTCCTGCCAGACCACCGTAAATGACTGTCAATCGCACGGCTGCCTTTATAGAGATATAACAGCCTCATAAATATTTCTGTGAAGCCTGAGGATTCACGGATTCAGTCACACTATCTGCAGTTACCACGTGATTTTTAACCAGTGTAATGCTAGGAATATTAGCTACTGTAACGTTTTATCTGTCATATAGCCCTTCTCTGAATTCTCAGAAGGATCTCTGTAAAAAAATTAATAAATTCATGGACAAAATCAGTGATATTAGTACATGGATTAATTGTGACATGTCCCTCGTCAATGAAAACAACACAATAAAAAGAGTTTACAGTAATGCACTTAAAAAGGAAGTCAATGAAGCAAGACTTTCTGAAGGGTTTGAAAGCAGTATATTCATGTTTTTTTATTTTCATGTTTTCTAAATCATCCTTTTAGCAGTGGGAATACTGTTACATGTGGATGAAGGTTATTGAGGCTTAATTACTGAAGTAATTCTGTACTTCTCTGTTTGTAAACAATCTTTCTGTTATTATTGAACATATCACATGAAAGTTAATGGGTTTAAATGATCATGAAGTTGAAAGAATGGTTAAAACATCACACAGACAAGGCTAATAAATGATTTTTTCACATTAAAGTGACAGTTCACCCCAAATTCAAATAGATTTTAATGTTTATCCTGGCTGTCTTACATTTAAAGTGCATTACTGTAAGCATGATTTTTATTTCTTTATTTGTTTTACTGAAATTATTTTCTGTGGTGTCGTCAGAATGCCAAAGATGCGGCCTATGGAGCTTGTTTTGATGCTGGAACATTCCTGTAATTATTTGAACTCTGTGGTAAACACATTCTCATATTTCAAATTTACGAAACAAACAAGACAAAGGCAAATAAATGATCAAAACAGACAGTGCTGAAGGGATTTTGGCAGGAATTCATCTATTGTACGGCAGCAACATTCTTGGCAGTGATGTCAGCGGTGGAATGTACTGATGCGAAAGTCTTTAAATGTCACTTAGCATTGAAACACACACTCAGCGTATGAGACAATGGATGCCTGCAGATCTACGCTTTGTTGAGGCTTGGATGTCATAAACTACAGCTCTGAACTCTGACCTGTAGACGTGTTTTGTTTCCCATCAGACACTCTCAAGCAACAAGAGAAACAGACAGGGGAAAGGGAAGAGAAATTGAGCGTTTGGGTGATTCCATCCATCAGCGCTGATGGACTGTAAATGGCTTCAGGTGTGACACTGCCCTGACTGTCTGTCTGTCATCCCTCCGCTCATCTCTTTCATCGTTCGTTTATTTCCTCTCTCAGCTTTCAGCTGTGATGTTGCTCAGCAATGTGTCCTCCTCCTCCAAACTCACACCTAGCCTTCATTTCCAGTGTTCTGCATTCCTCTCATCTCCAGAGGAGACATCTCTTCCTGTCAGTCACTTCTGATTGAATTTGTCCTCCTCATCCTCACTCATTTATAAATGACAATTTCTGTCTCTTCAAAACATTTCAGATTTGACACTGTGTCAGAGAGCAATTGAACCACTCAGAACAGACAGACAGATTGATGGATAAAAAGACAAATTGGACAGACGAATGGACATTTGGACAGAACCTAGACAGACAGACAGAGAGACAGACGGATAGATGGATAGATAGATAGACAAGAGTGTCCTGTAAAAATGTTCAGAAACAACAGTCAAACGGCAACCGCTTGAACGGGACGCCTTTCTCTCTCTCTTTAAAGTGTGTATTTATAGCCTCCAGTCTAACTGCTGTAGGATTTATACTAGTGAAATGACTGGAGGACAAAAATATGAACACTCATGCTGACAACACCATTAACACACAGTGTTGTGTGAGGTAATGTGAGGATCTCACGAGCAGACGGCTTCAATAATTCACACTGCTCTATAACTGAATAGAACATCAGTCATAAACAAAGACATATCAGAGTGAAACACACGCGCTGTGATCGTCATAATGCACTGATGTGTGTGTGTGTGTGTGTGTGTGTGTGTTCACATACATGCTGGAAGCAGCTGCGGATGCTGGGCTCGATGTTGCTCCCGCCGAAGGCTGCCACCTCGCCCAGCTGTCGAGGGATCTGAATGGCATCATGCAGCAGAAGACCCAACTGCCTCTGATCACACGTATCGCCCGCTGATGACACCTGATTAAACAGACCTGAGAGAGACACAAACAAAAAATCAGCTATAAATGTTTGCATTTAAAAGGTAAACTTCTTTTCATTTACACAGCACTCAAAACATGCTAAGAAAGACATTGCCAAAGATGTGATACGTGAGCACAACAGCCAAAGATGTTTCCTTCTAGAAAACAATAAAAAAAGAGCAGTAGAGTGAAAAATCACATTCTGTGTGAAGGGACACTGAGAGATGAGAAACTGAGAACCCTGACAGACTGGAAGATGCATGGACAGACAGACAGCAGTACCTATCTATTTCAGACTCATGGATAGATAGCCAGACAGATAAATAGACTGATATAGACAGGCAGACAGGTGTGATATATATCCACCTTGGATGGATGGATGGCTGAAAGGATGACATAAAATAGACAGACTTGCCAGATATCTGGATAGATAGCTGGACAGAGACAGACAGATAGACATACAAACTGCTACAGACAGACAGACAGAGAGACAGACAGATAGACAGATAGAGTCAGCTAGATCGTTAGACAGACAAATTGCTAGAGACAGACAGCTAGACAGACAGAATGCAGATAAGACACACAGACAGCTAGATATAGACAGACATTCTGTCAGCTAGATACATGAAGACAGACAGACATACAGCTAGAGACAGACAGACAAATTGCTAGAGACAGACAGACTGCAGATAAGACACACAGACAGCTAGATACAGACAGACAGACAAACAGTCAGTTAGCTAGATACATAAAGACAGACAGATAGATACAGACAGACAAATTGTTAGATACAGACAGACTGCAGATAAGACACACAGACAGCTAGATACAGACAAACAGCTAGATAGACAGACAGCTAGATACAGACAGACAGACAGACAGCTAGATAGACAGACAGCTAGATACAGACAAACAGACAGTCAGCTAGACACAGACAGACTGCAAATAAGACAGTCAACTAGATACAGACAGACAGCTAGATACAGACAGACAGACAGACAGACAGACAGCTAGATAGACAGTCAACTAGATACAGACAGCTAGATACAGAGAGACTGCAGATAAGACACAGTCAACTAGATACAGACAGACAGACAGACAGCTACATACAGACAGACAGACAGACAGCTAGATACAGAGAGACTGCAGATAAGACACAGTCAACTAGATACAGACAGACAGACAGACAGCTACATACAGACAGACAGACAGACAGACAGACAGCTAGATACAGACAGACAGACAAACAGACAGTCAAGCAAGACAGAGACTGCAGATAAGACACAGTCAACTAGATACAGACAGACAGACAGACAGCTACATACAGACAGACAGACAGACAGACAGACAGCTAGATACAGACAGACAGACAAACAGACAGTCAAGCTAGACACAGACAGACTGCAGATAAGACACAGTCAGCTAGATACAGACAGACAGACAAACAGACAGTCAAGCTAGACAGAGACTGCAGATAAGACACAGTCAACTATATACAGACAGACAGACAGCTACATACAGACAGACAGACAGCTAGATACAGATAGACAGATAAACAGACAGTCAAGCTAGACACAGACAGACTGCAGATAAGACACAGTCAGCTAGATACAGACAGACAGACAAACAGACAGTCAAGCTAGACACAGACAGACTGCAGATAAGACACAGTCAACTAGATACAGACAGACAGACAGACAGCTACATAGACAGACAGACAGCTAGATACAGACAGACAGACAAACAGACAGTCAAGCTAGACACAGACAGACTGCAGATAAGACACAGTCAACTAGATACAGACAGACAGACAACAAGCTAGACAGACATACAAACTGCTAGACAGACAGACTGCAGATAAGACAGACAGCTAGATACAGACAGACACAGACAGTTAGTCAGACAGACAGACACAAATAGATTAACAAGTAAACATTGTTTATTTTTGTACAAATACCAGACTACATACATTTTAAAAAAACAAATAGACCATATGTTGCTGTATATGGTCAAAGACTCATCTGTCAAAGCTTTTCTAAAAGTTCTTTGTTAAACCAAATGAATAAAACATACTGTCGTTCTATGAAATCATATCCGCTATTTCATAGCTCATAACAGTAAGAGTTCACTCTCCATCCACTCATATATGAGCATTCAATCCCAGCTCAAATGCTTCCCAGCATGCATCATTTATGTGGATAAATTAAAAAAGATAATTTAGCTTATTTTTCATTTAATATTTAAAGCAGTCCCTTCAGTAATCTACACACGGTTTAAGATGTAATGTCGATGAACAGATTACAGCAAATTAAAAGTCCTTCAGTTAATGATAAATGTCCTTTTCCATAATTTTTCATCCATCATCATCTATTTCTGACCTTGGCTCAGGGACGGAGATGACCTTGATTACCAGAGCAAGAGCAGACCCCTGCCAGAGCGGTCACACACACACACACACACGCGCGCACACACACACGCACACAGCGCTGAGCTTCAGTCCTCTGTCCTGAGAGCTTCAGAGCAGTTCAATAAACTCTATTCTCACTCCAACACGCACAACTAAAGTTACACAGACTCTATTTCACTGTGCGCTGTGTTAACTCAAGGTCAGCGAACAAACCCGTCTGTGATTGTCTGTCACTCAGCTCTGCTTTACAAAGTGCTGACCGGACCGAGTGAACCTCAAACTGCTGACCGAAAATGGAAAAAAAACATGTTTTCCATCTCAACAAGCGCTAACCAGTGCAAGGATTCATCTACTGTGAGTCCTGATCACTCAGAGGACTGAAGACTCCCGAGATGAGCCAGAACTTAAAAGCTTCAGTGGGCAACCAGTCATGGGCTGCAGGGTGATATGGCTGTGGCTTATGTACTGTATTATTTGCAAGCTCAAGCACATTTTTATATTTCCCAATAAACTGCAAAAAAATTCAGCATAAATAACATGCATTACCCTTTTATTTCACTCTATTTTAGAGTTAATAATAAATAATCCTTTTATTATAAAAAAAATAAATAAATAAATATATATATATCTATCTCATATGAGTCATCTCTGAAGCCATGCAGTTGATTTGGTTTACGAATTGGACTGGTCACTGACCAATGTTCCAGTCGCAGTGATTCTCGGGTTAACAGCTGACTGACAGCAATATTATCAGTAAATAACCATTTTAATGCATTATTTCAACTCATTTAATGCAACTCTTACTGATAATTATGTTATGGCTGATAACAAATAAATGTGGGGTTCACTAAGCCCTGGGGGTTAGTGAGGGAACTGCAGGGGGTTTGTGATTTGATGAATACTAGGGTCATATGACTATTAATTGGCACCTGTAAACCACGAACATGCAAATGAGTAAAATTATTGAATTTATTAAAATCTCAGGGGGTACTTCAAGAAAACATTTGTCAAAGGCGTTCAACTTAAAAAAATTAATAAATTATGGTACGGTATTAAAAATACTTATTTTAACATATTTAACATGTATTATTTATTAGCATTTTCAAAGAATAAACATTACATTAAAAAAATTACAGATTAAAAAAATATCAGCTAATAACTGAAACATAACCAGTTTATTATGAATCTTTTAGTGTTTTGTCATTTTTGAGCTTGACAAGCTGTTCACTATTAACAGTTGTTATATGAAAAGAGCTTTGTGAAGATCCTTTAAAACTGTCATTCTGTGTTTTGCTGATAAAAAAAAAAAAAAAAAAAAAAAAGGAATTGCGACTTTTTCATCTCTCAATTCTATACACGAATTGATGCGGAATATGGCGGATGCTGCCACACGAGGGTTGGCTGCATCGTCTGCGTCTGTGTTTAAACGATCTCGTCTGAAAACTGAGATATATAATACTGTTGACGGCAAGGTTATTGTTGAGGATGAATTCCTTAATTTTCTTGCTGTTAAAATTAAGACTAAGTCAGAATGAAATTGTCCTGTTGGCTGCAAAGACGTTTGATTCGGATTGGATTGAGGCCTCAAAGAAGGTAACTTACTGTTTGAATTATGTCCTACAACACAACGGAATGTTTCTCATAAAGGGCCACAGAAAGACGTTAATAACATAAAAAGCTGTCTTAAAGTGATGAATGAATGTGGCGAAGACATGCCCAGATTTGTTTCACATTATTTGGATGAGTTGCCACCAGTGTCCTTCGATAGTAGCATTGATGTTTCAAGTTTGCTTGGAAGAATGGAGCAGCTGAGTGTTGAGCTTTGTTCTATGAAACACGCAATGCAACTACATGTTAATGTGGGTGAAGATCTACGAGCTATCACAGTGGATATTAAT